TCAGCCACCGCGGGTTTAGTCCAATTGAGCTCAAAATCATTCACTTAAGTCCATCCACCGCCAGTCCAATAAATGCGCACATGTTCCTAATATCTATATGCAATTTAATTAATATTTTTATTTAGAGATTGGGTTGATCCCTAATTTTTAAGCAATGAATAATTGAATGGGTTATCAAAATTTAGGTGTCAACAGATTTGTTAGTTATTTTGTTTGGTTTTTTAGTTTGAAAATTACTACCTTTTCTTATCTCGACATAACAAAAAGTTCTCTTATCTAACAAGCTTTTATTTGAATTTCTTACAAACACCTTAAGTTTATAGATAATTCTATAAAGTTACCAACTTCTATTCGAGTGACTTACCAATTTTTTTTCCCGATTAAGTAACCCAAGATAAGAGCGATTAGATTAATAAAACCAAATAATCATTGGTAATTAATTTGATGGTTGATAATCTATAACCAGTTGATAAATTAATCAGAGAAACTTTAGTGATGCTATATAAGAGTTAATATATTTAAGACAAAGGTAAGAGAAAAATAAACTTGCTAAATAACTCAAATGAGAATTGGTAATCCAAAACTAGTTGACGACTTAATAAGAGAAAAAGTTGATAATTCACTCTAACTAAGGTTAGTAATTTCTAAAGAAGTTGGTAAGTTCAAGGCGTTGCAAATTAAGTAAAGTAAATAGATGTTTCCAAATGACAAGCAAAATTGGCAAATTAAAGAAGTCAAATCAACATCGGTAAATAACTCAAATGAAAGTTGGTAATCTCATACTATGTGGTAATCAATTATAGAAAGGTTGGTGAGTCATGGTGATTGTGACATTCCGAATTTCGACCCATTTTTTGGGATTTATAAAACGTATATTTCGTCAGTGCGCTTATAATAAAATCTTGCTCGGAACTGATCACTCTTGGGTTATTTTTAAATTAGAGATTTCGCTAGAATCGTACTCGATCGAATTTGGCCGTTATTTAGAGCCCGAACTTTGGTGTCGAATTTTTCGGAGTTTCATAACGAATTTAATTGGACGGTGTCGATATTATTGTGGTCAGCGTCGACATTGCCTAGGATTAGTGAAAAGTGAAATTTGGACCGGTTACAGATTTGGACTAGTAGACCTCCTTCGTAGTGTGTTTTAGTTAGTGTTTTGGCCTTTTTTCTAATTTATTAATTAGGATTTTCGTAGACCGTCGAATCGATTTCGGATTTGAATGTGGGCCATCGGATCGCACTCGAGTGCGTTGACTTTGCCCCTCTCTCTCTCTCTGCCGCATCCCCTCCCCCTGTCGCACGTCCCTTCCCCCTACCCCCCATGCAACGTCCCCTCTCTCTCTCTCCTCCTTTTTCTTTCTTTTCTTTTCTTCTTTCTTCTTCTTCTCTTCCGCCGCACCGCTGCTTCTGTTCTTCTCTTGCTACTCATCGTCGACCGCCACTCACCGTCCGCCTTGCACCGTCGCTCGCTTGATCAGCCACCACCCCCGCCGTCGCCGCCGTGCCACCGGAAGCCATCACCGTCGTCAACTCGCTCGCCCAAAAACTCGCAGCTCGCCGAGCCGAGCTCGTCGCCGCTCAACTCGCCCAGCTCGCCTAGCCAAGCCTGTCGCCACCATCCGCCTTGCGCCGCCGCTCGCCCCGCTGCCTGCGACGCCGCCGGCTCACCCCCTGCTCCCAGCCGCACGCCTCTGTCTCGACCGCCCATCACCGTTGCCGAGCCGCTGCCTTGGCCGGATTGCTATGTGCTTGTTCGTCACCGCCGCGAGCCCAGCTCGCTAGCCCGCCAGCAGCTCGTTGCCGCCGCCGTGCCGTCCAACTAGCCGGACAGCCAACTCGCTGGCCAGCCAGGCCAGTCGCCCGAGCACGCCTGACCGCCCAACCCCATCTCGCCGGCCGAGCAGCCCAGCCGCTCGCCCGGCTGTGGCCAAGCTCGTTACCCGCGCGCCCAGCCGCTGCCCCAGCCATGGCCGGACAGTCTAGGCTGCTACCCAGGCCGTGGCCGAGTCGCCTAGCTCACCGGGCCGAGTGCCTAGCCGTGGCCAAGTGCCATGCCAAGCGCCCCTGCCGTGGCCGAGCACGTTGCCAGCCACTGTGCTCGCTGCGCCCTCACCCGCGCCGAGCCGCTACTGTTCCCCCGGGCCATTTTGGGCCCCTTGCCGGTTTTTCCGGGGCCAAACTTAGGTAAGTGACTTCCTAAATCTTATCTAGTATAATGGGTATTATTAGACTTGTTTAGGCTTGCTTTGTGATGGATTAGGGGTGGTTTAAGGTTGACCTATTGGCTAGTTTAGTGAGCTAGTGTGACTGGTTGTGTGGATGAATTGTGGGGATCTAGAGACCTCATTTTGGGGCTGGTCTTCATTGAATTGAATGCTAGGAATTGTGGGCTATCTTAGTGAGCTTATAACTTGATTTGCGAATTGAAATGTGATGAATTGGTGGGCGCGTGTATGGCGGGTTAGTCGTGGTAGTTGTGAGTGCAATTTGATGCTTGATGGTGGCCGGTTCGTGATGGACTATGGGTTGAGCATGACCGGCTCGAATGTTGGAATTGTGGGCCAAAGTGGCGAGCTTTTGACTTGAAATTGGATACGTGCATTGTGCTAGAACGATGGTCGTGTTATGTGGTTGACTTGTGATGCTTTGAGGAATGAATTTGATACTTGCATGGATTGATTGGAACGAGTGGCGATTGAGCATAGTATGTAATTATTTGACTATGTGATTGGCGTGAAATTAATTGAATTAAGTGGCGTGTGTGTTTGCTTGAAAAGCCCAGATTGATCGGAGGGCTGCCAACCTGAGGCGTGGTTACGCGGGTATGACGAGAAAGGCAAGAAAAGACCTAAGGCGTGTTTACGCTGGTCATTGAAGAAAGTTGGGCCTGAGGCGTGTTGACGCGGGCTATGAAAAAGGACCTGAGGCGTGTTTACGCGAGTCGTGGATAGTTGGATGGACATACATGTGGAATGTGCTTGATTGAAGTGGATGAATGCGCATGTGTATGGCGCTCGGGTGATTGTGATATGTGCTTAGGCTATTATTGCATTATAGTGTTTGACTAATATGCAGAGTTGGCGTGTGATTGGAGGCGAGGCAAGTATGTCTATGTGAATTCCAATTTGTCGATGGTTAGATTGCATGTTGAGACTTGTCTGTGTACGCATTAGCCTAGGTGGGGTTTAGGTTGTTTGCTTATTGAGATTTATCTCATTTCCGTTGTTAAACATTTTCAAATTTGGAGTGACGGATAGTCGTCACGTGCAGTTCAGAGACCGGGAGTGACCTTGGGCATTTGATGCTTCATTTCATCTTTGGATGCTCCTCTTTTGTATAGTGAAGTAAGCTACCCAACCACTGTTCCCTTTTGATGTTGTGTATTTGTGAATGCTGTAGTGTTATCCCTTGTCATTAACTATCATCAAGGTTGCTTAAATTTCGCTTCCGCTTGCGTACGTCTTTGCGTGTTTCGTATAGGTCGGCAACGCATCCTGGGATGTCGCGTTCAATACGGCCATCGAAGGGGTGTCGCGAGCCCGTTGGGGTTCGGGGCATGACATTAATTTAGATCAGTAATCTCTAAATGGAATTAGTAAACATAAGTGGTCGTAAACTAGGCAAATGAAACTCAGTAATTCAATAGAAAAATTGATAGAGTATACAAAAACAATAAAAAATTGGTAAGTAATGCAAATAAGAGTTGGTAACACAAAAATAATTGACCATTCAATATGACAAAAGTTGGTAAGTACTTCTAATTCAGATTGGCAATTTCATATAAGAGTTCATAAATAAAAGATGTCAATAAGTTATGTAAATAAAAGTTGGTAAGTTGGTATAAAAATTGCTAATTTGCAAACTATAAATTTGTAATTTCATAAAAGTCTTGGTAAGTTTCCAACAAGTTACTAGAAAAATAGTCAGCTATCATTTTTCTTACTAACAAATTTTTACACTTACCAACACTTGCTGAGATTTATTAGCACGAAATAAAAATCCATGCATTTGGGCACAAAGCAATAGAATTCCATCAAACACGGACATAATTCGAAGTTCTAGGCTTTCACAAACTTTATTTCAAGTCAGGTTTTAGTTTAATGGGCTCAAAACTGACGCCTATTTTACCAATTTGAATTCATACTCATATGGATATACTAACCTTGTTTGAACAGTTATCAATCCACTTCTAATTTCAAAGGCATAATCTAATCTTCCAACTTATGGAAATATACCAAATTCAAATCTTATTACCTTAACGTCAGATTTACCTACTTTAATGGAAAAGTTGCTAATACGCTCCTTCGAACAACACCTGCTAGTTAATATACGGTTGGTGCCTAATAGAATCTGCAAATTATCAAATCCACCAATAATGAACGAAATTCAATATTGATAATCATTGGAAAGACGGGATGCATACATAAGAATTAGATACGTAACTAAACATTTGCACTTGTATCACATCCAATGGCAACTACATAAAATGGTTTTACACTGATAAAGGTTCTAAATTATAATAAGAAGCTAACTTTTGAGTCAAGAACACGCATCTAAGTTTTGCTAAAGTGTACGAGTCTGGCCCATTGAACTTTTCCCCCCCAAAGTCCACACACCTGAAGATAAAGATGCATATTATATATAAAGACAGTCGATTGTGCTTTCAAATCGTACCAACGAGAATCTTCTTATCTCTTTCACTTTCAACGTCATTGCTCAAATAATGCATGTCGCTAGGGATTCTAGAATCCTCTTCACTGAGGAAACGCTTGAGACATCTTCATATCATGATCTGCATGCATAGTTACGTACATGAAATTCTAGAGTCTTCTTCACTGAGGAAACGCTATTCAACACGATACCATCACATGCTTCTCCATGCATATGCGATGTCATGAAGCTATAAGCTTTCATACTTTTCCATTGACTATAACGACCAGATGGGTCCTATTTAACGTCATACCATCACATCTTAGCGAAAATTTCGTCGTCTTGAGCTTGAGGTGGGATCCACTTGAACAGTAGTCCCTTCTTCATCAAGCTAAAGGAAATTACTGGTTTCTTGTGGTTATAAATTGACCCACTTGGAAGCGTTTGGAGTCAGCACTCTCAAGCAAAGCAAAGCCATGCCAAGCCAAGAGTAGGCTCTGTTTCCTGTGTTTGTATTCTCTTCCTCTGCTTATTTCCCCAGTCCCATTCTCTATTCTTCTCTTCTTTTTTTCCATTGCAGAATTGAATGTGAGACAGCAAGCATATAGCATGGCAGGATCAATGGAGGCGCGACAGGTGGGACACGGATTCAATCCGAGGGAGGAGCAACTCGTTGGTCATTTCCTGAGAAAGAAGCTCAAAGGACAAATGGAAGCTAATTGCGAAATTCCCGAGCTATTCATCTACGATTGGGAGCCTCCGGATTTGTTTATCCTATACGACGGTAACTTACATTTAGTCCTTAGAGTTCTCGATTTCTCTATTTTCTTACGGTTTGATGGTAACTGGTCGTTGCCATTAAGACTTTAGTAAAAATAACAGTTAAACAATCTTTGGTTGTAGTATTATCAAGTGAACCGTCGGCTGGACGAGAGTGTTTCTTCTTTTGTCCCCGTGGTCGTAAGAGGAAGACCAAGTGGGGATTTTGGAAAGAAACGGGTATCGAGCGTGTTGTACGAGCCGACACGGGTAAGCCAATGGGGACCAAGAGATATTTCGTTTACTATGAAGGTCGACAACCAAAGGGCCGCTGGACTGATGTGACCATGCGCGAATATCACCTAAAGTTGGATGTTTCAGATAGTGAAATTTCGGACCCGGTACTCGACTTCTCTTCTTTTGCTTCCCTTAACTGAGCATCTCTAACATGGTTACAAGTGCAGGTAAAATTGATTTCATTTCTATACATATGTTCCTCATTGAGCTTCTTGAGGTTTCTGGCTTTGTGAGTTCACGATTGGCTAGTTCCTCCCTCTCTGCCATGATTTAAGTGCGATTTACCTTTAACTCCAGCTGTCCTTTGAACATTTGTTTTCGCAAGTCAGAACTTTTCCTACTGTAATTCGTAGAATTTCATGAGGAAGATCGAGAAACTCAACTCACCATTGATCATTTTAACTCTACTGAAGGTTACACTGCCAAAATTTGGTGGTTCTGCAGCAACAAAGGGGACAATTGGTTCTTGAAATTTAAATTACTTCAATTTTGATAAGTGACGCGTGATGTATCTCGTCCATAAAATACTTTTGGGCAACAATGGGGTTTCGGTTGTCGTAACTCTGATACTCATAGCCGGTATCATTGTCTTTGTAGACGGCATTGGTTCTCTGTCGGATAATGAAAGGGAAAAGTAAGAAAGCAAAGTCAGCAACAGCGAGTGCTTCAACCGATTTAAGCGGCCTGAGTAATCTGAATAGTGCACAGGTGATCAAATGTTGCTTTCGGTTGATACAAAGCAACATATGATCTAGAGATACATCTAACCATACTAAAGCTCGAGTTCTGTTTGTTCTTTCTTTTTTCTTTTTCACTCAGGCAACTCCAGGAGTTACTATTGAATCTGACTATCCAACCGAGATGTTGAATACTAGTTTACCAGACTGGAACCTGCCTATTCCTGATCAGCAGCCTCAAACGTACAAAGAGCAATGTTTGTGTTATGATGATAATTGGCATGTTGACGAACCTAATGATGGACGTTGTTATATACCATATTCTCTGAGCAACGGCATCAATGTCACGGATTTATCGAACTCTGACGAGAGCACAGGGCAGACTCAAACGTGCAAAGAGCAACATTTAGCATATGATGATAATCAGCATGTTGACGGACCTAGCGACAAACATTGTGATATGCCAAATTCTCCAAGCGGCGGTATCGATCTTGAGGATCTCTTGAACTCTGACTAGAGCAAGGATTAGTATGCCAAACTACAGTGTGCGTAGATTATGCTCTATAGATAAGTTGTGAAGTATGATAATGGACTGCCAGTGTTTGGTGGTCCTTTACAGATGTTAATCTCAGCCTAGTTTGTTATATCAGTGATAATGCTATGTACCAACTATGCTTCTCCGAGGATGGGACATTATATCAATCTTGTGTGCTTGTATATTGTAGTATTAATTTTTCCTCACAATTTGCATATTTATCTTGATTTTATCTACTCAACACTGGTCATGCATCAATATCTATTCGTCTAACCTTTGAGAGGGCTTGCCGTATGAGACTTTCCTCCATTTTCGTAAAATCCCAAGTCCATAAACATGACTTGTCAAGTGATTTGTAAGTAAAAGACCCATTCCTCGTCAATGCCCCGATTATTCCCGACAACGGGTTTCTCAGGACGCGCATGATAACCATTATGTTTCTCTGTTTTTCTAGTTATCTGCTTCCAAAAATAGGTTTGGAACAGAAATCCGTTTGGTAATACAATTTCTTTTTTTTATTTCTGGAACAAATTTATACTCCAGAAATTGGTTTGAAACATAAATCAAAAGTAAAAATTTTCTACATTTTTATTTCCAGAACAAAAATGAGAAATAAAAACTCTTCTCATCCCTCGCCATTGGCCTTTCACCCACCGCCAGCCATCATCCGCCGCCGCCGCCGCTACTGTCCTTTGTCACCAGCCGGTCATCATCCATCGTCGGCCACTGTCGTCCACCTCCGTCCGTTGCCGCCCGCCATCTACCGTCCATTGCCGTCCGCCACCGCCTGCGTCTACCATCCTCTATCGCCTAACGTTGGCCGCCTCCCACCGTCGGCCGCCGCCATCCACCACCGTTGGCTGCCTCCTGCCGTCCTTCATCGGCCAACGTCTACCATCCTCAGCCAACACCCGATGCCGGCCACCTCTCGTTGCCGCCGCCCGCCACCGATCGCCGTCCTCCGCTGCCAGCTACCTTCCGCCGCCGCCTGCCGTTCTCCATCGTTGCTCGCCCGCTAGTTGCCTGAGAGGGAACATTTTTTTGTCATTATCAAACAAATTTTTATTTCAGAAACAGAAATTTTATGTCATTATCAAATGCGTATTTTGACTTAGAAATTCATCTATGGAATAAAAATAAAAAAAATGTATTTCTGACCAGAAATTGACTTTTGGAACAGAATGGTTATCATTCGCGCCCCCTGTCTTTTCTTATTTCTTGCTTCTTACCCTTTCTTGCGGCATCTCCTTTCTCTTTAATTGCAGCGCCACCCCACCATGACCATAGAAAAGGCAAAGTAAGGGAAATTTTCAAATAAGGTTCTAAAATGAGATTATTTTTTCAAAAGAGGGCCCAAAGTGGATTTGTATCATGTAAAGGCTATACAGTGCCAAACTTAGTCTCAAATAAGATCTGGAGCTCACCGGCCGGCTAAATCTTCGTTGGCCGGCAAGCACCATCGACTTATACGGCACTTTCCAAGCCATGGCCAATGGCATTTTCATCTAGGAGCATTTTTTTAAGTTTTCTTTCTTTTATTTCTTCTTTCTCTTTTTCTGTGAAGAAAACGAAAAAGATAGAAAAAGAAAGAAAAAGAAAAAGTGTCACGCAAGTTGCCAGTGGAAGGAAGGAGAAAGAAAATTAAAATGAAAGAAAAGAAAAGGCATAAAGACACTAGAAGTGTCAAAAGTTTCGTACGGCACTAACTTTATTGCCAAAAGTTTTCATCGGATTATTTAAATGCCAAATCGGAGAAAAAATAATTATTTAAGTGTCTCTAGCGAGAAATTTTGACAAAAAATATTAAGTGGCTTTTATAATAAAAACTTCAATATGAGTTAGCATTTTTTTTTTTATTAAAAACCAGTCCACGTGGACATCCTAAATGACGTCGCACGAGCCAACATGGCTGGGTTGTCTAAACACGAAGTTGCACGAGTCTCCGGAGAAAAAACCACGTCCTCGAGGTCATCGTCAAGGAAGTGATCCTGTCATTGCTGTGGCTCAGGCGATCGGCCCCGATCCGACGGCATATCGTTGAAGTCCATCAATGGCTCTCCTTCGTCATCCCAGTACCTACAGCAAGAAACCAACAACAAATACCTCGATTAGTCACTAAAATTGCCAGAAAAATTGAAAGAACAAAAAAACTAGGGTTTGGGATCGTACGGATCGTATTCGTAGCCCATGCTGGCGATGGGTTTCGGTGAACAGGTGAATTATACAGGCTCCGATCGGATTCAATTCGATTAAATATCGAGATGGAGGTCACTTTAGCTTCACAACGACAAGACGGAGATTTCTTCTGGTCGGATTTGCTTTTGTTGTTCATATGCGTTGTTTCACGGTAATTCTCCTCTAATAACACTGAGCCTCTAGCAAGTTACTCCGGATTTGATTTAGGGTTGAATGGTCGATTTAGGGTTTCGAATTTGGGAATTTCCTCGAATGGTTGATTTAGGGTTTATATTTGGGGCAAAACATGTAGACGACGTTGTTTATGGGTATATATGCTAACTGGGCACGCCGGCGAGCCACGTCGGTCGCAAAAATTAATAAAATATGGTCACATCGGATTTCCCTAAGCCTTATTGCTGGAAAGGCTTGATTAGAAGAGGAATAATCCTAGCGATATCTCATCAGATAACACATGCCAAGAGATTCTTCAGTGACATGCAATTTATCTTGTGATTTTAATAGGTGCAACTGTGGAACCATTTGGAAAGCAAGTGAGCAACTTTTGTGGTTCTGCGCAGTAGTCTATTTGCTTTATCTACTAGCAGCTGACCCTGTACCTGGAGGACTGAGAGGAGACATCACAAAGCAGAACCTTTTGACAGAGTTGGGTCTTATTAATTTCTGACATCAGAATTAATGTAATCAAATATATGAATTGTTCTTGCAAGAACTTCCTTTTATCTTGGTTCTATTACATTAAAATGGCACTTCTTGTTTTCACCCACTCCAATGAAGTGCATATTTTACATCAGAGGCTGAGTTCAACCACAGGTGTTTGTACAGGTTGTGATTTTTGCCAGGCTTGAGAAGTGCATATTTTATAGGTCCTCTCTATGCAACGTGTATGCTCACCCAGAAGGTGTTTGAGGAAATGTCCGAGAGAGACATACCCACGTTCGACTATCTAGGTCGACGATTGAGTTGAGCTAGTTTAAATATATTAATGGATGACTCGAGGGACTTGACGATGGAGGCCATGGACTTGACGATGGAGTCCTCTCTCAAACGGCATGGTACATATGCGACAACGATTAAAGTCGAAATTCACTTGGCCCATCAGAAAAAAAAAACAAATATCCCACGGCATCAAAATTCAAAATCTATAAAGTAAATGTCATTAAATATTAAAATGAACTATTTAACCTTAATCTTGTTCAGAATGACGTATTGAATTTATTCATTCGGAAGAGTCTTCTAACACAAATTATATTAATGATATCAAATGTCCTAGTTTTTTTTTGGTCAGAACCTAGTTTAAATATGTGATTTTGTTTTTTCGTTTTTCAATTTTAAATAATGAGTTTTTAATTTGTAATATATTTACAATCACTCAACTTATTTTAATTTGTAAGATCGATGATTCTCTTACGTAGAATATCATGAATATGTTCACATTTTGACATTAAAGATTCAAATCTAGGAAATAAATGTCATTAAATATTAAAAAGAATTATTTAACTTTCATCTTATTCGAAATGGCGATTCAAGCAATACGTAATCGAAATTATAAATAGTTGAATAGCGTAAATGACTAAAATATTTTTATAGGAATAAAAAGCAAAAAAAGAAAAGAAAAAAAGAAGAAAAAACATAAAATCAAGCCATGAATAAAAAGCAAAAAAGAAAAAGAAGAAGAAACCGAAAACTGATCCGAACCAAACCGAACCAAATCGGTTTTTCGGTTCGGTTCCAATTCAGTTCGAGCAAGTTTCGGTTCGGTTCGGTTCAGGGGTGCTTCTTTAACGGTTCGGTTCGGTTCGGTTTTTCAAGAAAACCGAACCGAACCGAACCGTTTAGAGCCCTCCTAATATTTGGGGCAAAACATGTAGACGACGTTGTTTATGGGTATATATGCTCACTGGGCACGCCGGCAAGCCATGTCGGTCGCAAAAATTAATAAAATATGGCCACATCAGATTTTCCTAAGCCCCATTGCTGGAAAGGTTCTGTTTCAAAACAACATCTGATTTGATTTGTTCCTTCGTTTGCCTATAAAAAGAATATCCAAATCACAATCAAAACATACTAAAAACAAGAAATGCTCTCTTTTCATTCCATTTATTTGTTGGGTTTTACATATGACGTTATTGTTCCTGTTTCCTCTATTTATTCTATGCGAAGTAAAGAGAAAGATCCGTTATATCCTAGGAAGATAATCGCTAGAGCTTGTCGCACCAAGTATCGTACTCCGAGGGCTGGCATTATCCTTAAGGATAGTGCTTGCATGCCTCAGATATTTTTTCTTATTTTCATCTTTTCTAACATATTTTTCCAACAAATAGTCTCTCGGAGTTCTCTTTATGGAAGAGCTCCTCCAACCCTCTTGATTAGCCCTAACTAGCGACATTTTCTTTTTGTTCCTGCTTCATTCTCGGGTTCCCAGAACATTGCAATGAGGATGGACGGGAAGATGCTGCGGAAGCTCGATTAGCCCTTCTCGGCAGAAAATTAAGTAAGCTTTGGTCAGATGTGAATGTTCCCGTGATGAATGGTGTTGAATCCTCGAAAAAGTGAATGTCGTCTTACACTATTTGGGAAACTCTAACAAACCCTAACATCAATTTTCAAGCATTCCAAAACACAATGAGGAAAGCTTGGAGATTAGATTCGGTCACCTGTTGGCAAATGGAAGCTGGTTCACATTTAAATCAGAAAAGGAGAAGAATTGTATTCTGGAAGCTGTTCTATGGTCATTCGCTAATCACCTGTTAATTCTTAACCCATGGTAACCTAATAAACCGCCTCGTTACTATGAATTTACTCTGTGCTTTTTGGGTTCAAATACGTGGGCTCCCTTATGAATGCTTCTTGGAAGAAACAATGCTGAGAACAGCGGCAAAGATTGGACCGGTCTTTAAAATCTGATGGCCCTTTTAAAATCTGGAACTGTTACAAGTTTTGAATGAAAATATTATGGATAAATTTTAATTATGAAAGACTCCCTCATTTTTCTTTTCTTATGAGAACATTG